ACGCACGCACGCACACACACACACACACACTCACTCACACACACACCAGCACATTATGACTAAACATGACCGTATGAATCACGATGTGTGAAAGTGTGATGAAAAATCATGAAGGAGTGTGTGAGTCAATAGACAATAGCTGTGATGTCACAATCACCTGATACAACTACAGCCGGAAAAAAAAAAGAAAGAAAAAAAATATATATATATTACTGTTATTATTTTACTGCAATTTTACTGCAATTTTTATCAAATAAATGCATATAACGCACATATACCTGTGCGTGCAGCAGTGCTCTGTATCTGTCCTGTAGTGTGTGTGTGTGTGTGTGTTTGTGTGTGTGTATGTTCAGTAGTAAAGCTGGAGTCTTTCTCTCTGGCACAGGTTTCTTCATGCTTCCACATTCCTACACACACACACACACACACACACACACACACTGAGGGCATTAAAAGCACACATTTGTAAGTGTCAGAGAGTAGTGTCAGTCTGAATGTTTATATTGCTTCTGTGTGTGTGTGTGTGTGTGAGAGAGAGAGAGACAGATTCACACAGTGAGACAGTGTGAAAGCGTGCAGCTGTCCTGCGCTGAGAGCGGTTAGCATGACGCCCACAGAGCATGAGTCAGCGAGAGATGCGCTCTAGTGAGTGAGCTGCCTACATGGACAGCAGAGTCAGGCATCACAGGTGCCTTACAAACCCACCACACCCAAACCACACGCTTCACCTTCTGAAGAACACTGAAAACTCAACGACTGATGCTAGAGTGCTGTGGAGGGTTGCTAAGCAGTTTTGGGTGTACCTGGTGGTTGTTATGCCGTTGCTGGGGTGTTCTTGATGGTTGTTAGGGTTCTCTGGATGGTTGTTTTGCAGTTAATAGGGTTTTGCTAAGATGTTCTTGGTGGTTGCTAGGGTGTTTTGACTGGTTGCTGGGGAGTTATGTGTTGCTATGCAGTAGCTAAGGACTTCTGGGTGGTGCTAGCATGTTCTGAGTGATTGCTGTTCAGGATGTTTTGGGTGGTTGCTGTGCAGTTGCTAGGGTGTACTAAGTGGTTGTTATGCCGTTGCTAGGGTGTTCTTGATGGTTACTATGGTCTTCTGGGTGGTTGCTATGCAGTTTCCAGGGTGTTTTAAGATGTTCTTGGTTGCTAGGGTTTTTTTTGACTGGTTGCTAGGATATTCTGTGCTGTTGCTACACAGTTACTTGGAAGTTCTGGATGGTTGCTAAGATGTTTTGGCTGATTGTTAGGGTGTTCTTGGAGGCTGTTATGTTGTTGCTTGGGTGTTCTGAGTGATTACTGTGCAGTTTATAGGGTGTTCTGGGAGGCTGCTATACAGTTGCTGGGGAGTTCTGGGTTATGGTTACTTAGATGTTGTTGGTGGTTGCTAGGGTGTCCCGACTGGTTGCTAGGGTGTTCCGAGTGCTTACTATTCAGTTTCTAGGGTGTTCTGGGAGGCATCTATGCAGTGACTAGGGAGTTCTGTGTGGTTGCTAAGATGTTCTTTGTGGTTGCTAATGTGACCTGACTAGTTGCTAGGGTGTTCTGAGTGTTTGCTAAGCAGTTTCTAGGGTATTCTGGGAGGCTGCTATGCATTTGCTAGGGAGCTCTGGGTGGTCGTTAAGATGTTCTTGGTGGTTGCTAGGGTGGCCTGACTTGTTGCTAGGGTGTTCCAAGTGGTTGCTATGCAGTAACTAGGGCTTTCTGGGTGGTTGTTAGGTGATTACTTCCGGTCTGTAGAGAATCGAGCTCCTCCTGGGATTTTGTCAGCTGTTTTCTGCTCCAGCGGATGAAAATGCTGCATCTGATCACTCAGTAAAGAAGCAGCACCGCGATCTCCTCACCAAACACATGATGTGAGGAAAGTGGTGTGTGTCTGTGATGAGGTTTGCTGTCCTCTGCTGGTGAGGAGCATCATTACACTCTCACTGACCTCCACTGCTCTCAGTGCTGCTTTAGCTCGTCTCGTCTCCTCCAGCTCTCTGACACTCGTTCATCTCCTCTCGTCCTTCATCTGCAGTGCTCCTCCTCTCCTGCTCCACTGTGGACCAGCACGCTTAATGTCAGACCTCAGCCTTTCATGCATGCGTGTGTGTGTGTGTGTGTTTTGTCCTCACAGGTGTCAGTCCAGGTGTTGTTCTCCTGAAGGCCCAGCGTGTGTCTCAGTCTCACAGACTCACAGACCAAACCATCCAGCAGCTCCCTCCATAACTGCAGACTGCCAGACGTCTCACCTGACGTCATGCACTGTCACAGGTGTGCTGTGTATCTGCAGATGCTGCAGCTCCAGGATCAGTGAGTTAAACCGACTCAGACTCGTCTCTCTGCTCTCGCTGACTGTCTCAGACATGGACAACAGCGCCTAGTGGACAAACACACACACTGAGTTCACCTAAGCATCATTTACTTTCCCTCATATATATATATATATATGTTTAAATGAGAATAAATAAGAAAATTAGGCTTATTTTAGCATAAATTACAGGCAGTACTATACAGCCATGAAGTGCATGTATTTTACAATAAGTTATTTTTTCACATTCCAACAATACAAATGTGTTTTTTTGTGTGTGTTTATTCATTTATTTAGCATTAAAGCAGGGGTTCCCTGCTTTAGGAGTTTTTTGAGTTGATGAAACACTAGTAACTCATTAAATCATAAACATGTAATATTAAAATAAATAAAACATTAAATAAAAGAAAAAGATCAAAATAAAACTCTTAATAAAAAAAGATGAAATATTTTATTGAATGTGTTGTTAAATTATTGAAATATTAATTTAAAATCTCAGGAAGACTTCAGCTGACAAAAAAAGTTTGGCAATCCCTCACCTAAAGAGATATATATATATATATATATACTATTAAAAGCTGAAAGGTAAAGCTAAAATTAAGCCTAATTGCCTGAAAATTGCCTAAAACGAAGACTAATTTAGCATAAATTACAGTCTGTACCAGTGTTTTTTTTTTTTGTATCATTGAGAGATAATTGTAGTTTTTGTTAATATTTTCAATTTTATTTTCTTTTTATATTTTCTTTTCTTTCATGTTAATTTTGGTTAAA